CCCGGACAACGTAGAACCTTTCTTTTTAAAGATAGCTGCAGATTTTATTGCTCTTCCTCTTACTACTCTTTTTAACCTCTCCCTCAGCACAAATGCAATTCCAAAAGTATGGAAGTCAGCTTATGTCTTGCCTTTACTAAAAGGAGGGGAGGCAACTATTTTAAATAACTATAGGCCAATCTCTAAATTGTCAGTTCTGGCGAAGGTGCTCGAACGCCTAGTGAGTGAACAGGTAAAGGAGTTTTTATGTAAAAATGATATCCTGTCTAAATATCAGTCAGGCTTCAGAAAACAACATAGCACCATCACTGCCACAATGAAAGTGGTGAATGACATTACGAGTATTTTAGACAATAAGCAGAGTTGTGCAGCTCTATTTATTGACCTTTCCAAAGCGTTTGATACCGTCGATCATCGCATCTTAAAGCAGAGGCTACTCAGTATCGGCATATCCAGCCATGCAGTGGGTTGGTTTGTGAACTACCTCTCTGAAAGGTCCCAATGTGTTCACTTTGATGGGCTGTCTTCTGAGTGGTTAAACATTGCTAATGGTGTTCCTCAAGGTTCTGTTTTAGGTCCACTTTTATTCTCCATATATATCAACAGTTTAGGTGAAAATGTGGATGAAGCTGCTTTACATTTTTATGCTGATGATACCGTGATGTATTGTGCAGGTCCCTCCATTAAGGAGGCTGGTGTTAAATTACAGGCTGTTTTTAACATTATTCAGACTCAGCTTGCTGAACTTAAGCTTATTTTAAATGTTGATAAAACCAAGTTAATGCTATTTTCAAAAGCTAAAAAGACACCAGAGCCTGTTTTGGATATTGTTACTATGCAAGGACAAGTACTTGAAGTGGTTACCATTTATAAATACCTAGGTATCTGGCTTGATGATTGTCTTACTTTTAAACTTCATGTCAATAACCTGCTTAAAAAGCTGAGGGTTAGACTAGGTTTCTTTTTCAGAAACAAGTCCTGTTTCTCTTTTGAAGCCAGGAAAAGGCTAGTCACTGTGACCTTTTTACCTGTGCTGGACTATGGTGATTTGATCTATATGAATGCACCTGCCCATTGCCTGGAAAAGTTAGATGCCGCCTATCACAGTGCTCTGAGATTTGTTACTAACTATAAAGCACTTACTCATCACTGTACCCTGTATGCCAAGGCAGGTCTGCCTTCACTAACTGTACGGAGGCTCAGTCATTGGTACATGTTCATTTACAAAGCCATGTTGGGTAAACTCCCATTTTATATCTGCTCTCTGATCTCTCGACGAATTGAAAGTACATATTGCCTGAGATCTCATGATGTTGTTTTATTAAATGTGCCAAGTGCTAGGATTGTCTTAGGGAAGAAAGCTTTTAGTTGTGCAGCTCCACTAAATTGGAACAGTCTGCAAACATGTTTAAAACTGAGCACTTTGCTTCCCCTGCATCATTTTAAAACTCGGCTGGGTGACATGCTGTTTGATACTCATGGTACCTGTCACTGTAAATAGAGTTTGTAAACTGTACCCTGTACATTATGTTGTATGTCATCCTTATTGTTGTTCTGTTGTTTTTATGTTACATGTGTAACTAATGTCCTGCAGGTCACCCTTGAAAAAGAGATCTTTTGATCTCAAGGGGCTTCACCTGGTTAAATAAAGGCTACAAACAAACAAACTGCTGTCTGTGCAATACTCGGCGCAAGTTGGCGGACTTTATTTTGCTTACTTTAACATAATTTTCATGGTGGGGCTAAGCCATTTCTTGGTATGGGTGTAGCCTACCCTAGCCATACCCTGGCGCTGCCACTGGTGGGATGTATGGGGCGGGCCATTCTGCACATGCGTTAAATGCGTTAAATATTTTAATGCAATTAATTCAAAAAATTAATTACCGCCGTTAACGCGATAATTTTGACAGCATTAGTTTATATATATTATATATATATAAACTAATGCTATATATCCTTTATTTAACCAGGTAAAATAACTAATTGAGATCTCTTTTACAAGAGTGACCTGGCCAAGAAGGGCAGCATGAACAAAGTTACAACAGATAAAACACAGACAATACAGACAGACAAAGACAGCAGTAAAACACAAATAAAATGGCACATTAGCCAGTCAAATATGCAACATAAAAGAAACTATTAAAAATCATTAAAAACTGGTAAACTTTAAAACGACTTCAATTTTAGGATATACGAGCAATCACATCTACCAATGGTGTCTTGTTCTCTGTCCTTTAAGATGGACTTGAATTCCCCCATAGTGATCAATTCTGGGAGTTTAAGCTCTTCCTGTACATTATTCTAAGCAGTGGGGGCAGCATATTTAAAAGCTGTTTTACCCAGTTCTGTTCTTACTTTAGGAACCAGCATCTGAATAAAATCTTGGGAGCCCAGGCCATATAGACTTTCTCTTTTACACATAAATGTGCAAATGTAAGAAGGAACAAGCCCAAGCAGAGATTTATAAATAAAACCCAACCAGTGGGAAAAGTCTGCGAGCAGACAAAGATGGCCAATTAGCAGCAGCATATAAAGTGCAATGGTGTACCCAATATCCACATCCAGTAATAAAACGTAAAGCACAATGGTACACAGCATTGATACCTTTTGGGTGAAGATGACATGAGGGCAGATTAAGGCCCAATTCCAATCCCCCTACACACTACCCCTCCATTTGCACGTTCGCGCGGAGGGTCCGCCACATTAAGTGCTGTTCCAAACCAACGAGTGTGGAGGGGGAGTGGGTTACCAAGCCCTCAAACAGCAAGTCTGCATCGGTGCAGACTTCACGTGCTGCCCTACCTGACCGGACTCAATGCTGTGTGTGTCTGTCAGGAAACAAGCTGTTAACAAGTAGTTCCTGCAAACATTCACTGATAAATTGCGATGTTAACAACCTCATGATAACCTCATATTTTTTTAACTTAGGATCTGTGACTAAACTGTGTTTAGTCATACCTATGCATTTTATTATAAAGTTGTGTATATTTACAGACTGTTGCAAAAACTAAGAAGTTTATAAACATCAGGTTTAAAACTAAAAGAGCTTTACAAAAAAGTAACACGATTAAAGATGTTTGGAGTTTTATTTTAGTTATTCATTAAAAAATGTGTCCAAGAGATGCTTTTTTGAAACCGTTGTTAGATACAGTTACGGCATTTCCTGTTTCTGCCGGAGAGAGGAGAGTTTGTTCCAAAGCTTGCCGCTGTATTTACACCCTCAACATGACAGGAGGGAGCCTCGTTTAGCTGCAAGTGTCACTCCACCACAGAGTTCACTCCGTCACGGAGTGGGAGTGGGTAGGGTGTGATTTGGAATTGGGCCTAAGAGTTTGAAAATGTCCCCGCTTACTCATACCCAGTGTTGGGACTAACGCGTTACAAAGTTACAAAGTAACGTGTTACTGTAACGCAACTACTTTTTGCGGTAACTAATAGCGTTACTAGTTACCTATTCCCATTAAGTAACGCCGTTATAGTTACTGTGATTTAAATGGGTGCGTTACTGCGTTACATTATGTGATGGAACTGAACCGAATCTCCCTGCGGATGTAGCTTACAGGCGAATACAGCGATGTCCTCTCACAGTACCATGGAAAAGAGAAAGTAACCAGAGAGGAGTGATGATTGGTTAACGCGGGGTAACATTTCAGGGTAAGCCAATCAGAGACAGAGTTGGGCGGGTCTTGCCTTATGGGGAAATTACACACACACACAAACACTTGCTAATGCTAACACACACACACACACACACAGCAACGCTCACCACTAGCACACACACACACACACCACACACACACACACACACACACACACACACACACACACACACACACACACACACACAATGGCAGATGCAAGTATCAGCGAGAGCAGCAGCGCATTTGCAACTTGGAAATATAACCACTATTTTCAATTTGTGGGGATAAAGGACGCAACAAATGTTACGGTAAAATGTAAACTGTGTGCAGGACAGAAAGCATTGTCCACATCGAATAACAGCAATGCCAATCTCCTGAAGCACCTAAGTAATGTGCATGGGGCTATAAAACTAGTCGCCAAAGACCCCACCGTCTCAACCACCGGCAGTGACCCAGATGGAGCAACACCATCTATACAGCCAAAAAACGATCTTTTAAAATCGCACTTTTGTGTTTTATTGTTCCACTATTTCATAATGATAATTGCTACAATGATGGGGAGTTGTCTTTTCTCTTACGGTGCCACAGAACAACACAACAACTTGTATTTTTATTGTTATTATTTTTTAAGTAAAGTAACTTGTTACTAGTTACTTCTATAATTTAGTAACTAATAAAGTAACTTTTTCGAGAGCAGTAACTATAACTATTACTAGTTACTTTTTAAAAGTTACTTTTTTAAAGTAACTTGCCCAACACTGCTCATACGTCATTCACACCAACGCAACTCCGGTTCAAGCTCCGTGCTAGAGCTTTTCAGGTTCAGAACCGGTTCTTCGGTTTAGCTCCGGCTCTTTTCACACTGCCCAGAATCCGACTGGTGCTGCGTCATTGCGTCATCGTTTGCGTCATGACGTAACCGTTTGCGTGCCTGCTTCATAAAGCCAAACCGTGCGGAAACCCCTCACAGCTGACGCCGACAACAACAACAATGGCCGATTGTGCTCCAGCTTCCTCTGTACCTCTTCAGAAGACCAGATTCCCAGCAGGTAGCTGGTCTCTTCAGTGGACCACTGCTGCTTGTTAAGTTTCTCCATCGTTGTGTACAAACTGGATAAAACGCCGGCTTTTTGTTGTTGTTCAGGAGTTGATGTGAGGACAGCGCGAGGACAGAGAAAGAGAACGAACACAAGGAACAAAAACAAAACTGCGGTCCGCGGGGACACGGACAATTTGCGAATGAGTTCTGCCTTGAGATTTACTTGTCCGATATTGTAAATAACACGTTCCGGACGATCGGACGTGTGCTTTTTCGCACACTGACCAAAGTATGAACCTCATTGTGTTTTTGTGTGTTAGGATGAGCCGGAGGTGCAGCAGCCGGATGAAAACAACCCGTATGAAGAAGTGTACAAGGACTCTAGTACTTTCCTCAAGGTTTGAAAACCTGCTCTCTTTCTTTTTACAGACACACTGGCTGCGTTCCAAGTCGCATACTTTTAATTATTACTTTTATTATGCATTGCACCTGCACCTGCCCTTACATACTGTTGCGTGCAGGACCTACTACTTTACTGGAACACCATAAATGTCACAGGCGCAGTGGCGACTGGTCATTAGGGGCAGGTGGGGCACAGCCCCACCTAGTGTCAGCAGAAAGTATTAAAAGTAATGATTACAAAAAAATGCAAAAAATAAATTAAACAATATATTTTAAGATCATGTTTAATCATCTGATTCGTCTGTACATTGCTGTTTTAGTCTGTGTTCTTCTAATTAGTGTCTACAGTGTGTGCCTATTGAGCTGTTTTGAGCCATGTGGGACAAAACCCGATCCTGCCCCTCCCTCTCCCTGTTTAAGTCAATGGTGACTGTAAAAACTACACTGCGCATGCTCAGAGTATTATCCTATTTAATGTGTGTGGCAAAAAAATAATGACCATAGGGGCATATAGCTGCCATCCCCACCATACGTCATCTCACATCATTCAGAGCTGATTGGCTGTAAGTACGTGTGCCGCGAAAAGTGTGGTGTGTGAAGAGCAGGTGAAGAGGAGGAGAGAGATACGTCCTAAAACCCAGAAATAAACTGCGCATGGATCTTACTAAGAGAGAACAATTCAATATTTAAATGATACAATTACATGTGTTGGGTATCCTTTTGTTGAACTGTCTGTTTAAAATTAATTGAAGCATCAGACTAAAGAGGCTTTTGAAAATAATATTATATTTTGATTTAGGTCAAAATATAATATTTGTAAACCTGAAGAGTCAGTGCCTCACCAGCCATGAACCTCACTGCAGAAGCTTATATATAGACATCTAAGTTTTTTGTGCCCCACCACTTTTGTACATATAAAAACGCCACTGCACAGGCGAACTAGATTTAGCTGCTATTTATGTCAACCAGCTGATAATGCTATTAGCTTCTGAATAATTTGCTGCGCTTTTGCGATTTAATGCGGGTATATGATGTGTTTTACAATTTTTTAGTTGGGAGAAAATGTCTCTTATACTGTAGGTCTAGTAATCTGTATTTTTATAATTGAAGATAGTTTTCTGTTCTTTTATCATGTTTAACTGCAATTACACTGTTTTTTGCGCAAAGAAAAAAACAATGACCGTTGAACCACTCAGCCATATATACAGTATATATTAAAATATACAACCTTTTTAATGGGTTTATGTAATTCTCACTTTCAACACCATAATAATGATAATAATTAACATTAAAATAAAACATGGCCACATTTAAAAGGAATATGATGAGATGTGCAATGTAGGCGTACATGTCAACAACGTTTTCAACGTAGCATTTATTTGTATGTCCACCATCAACCACAGCGAATACTTTCAACAAAATCTGTTATTTCAACTCTCTGAATTTCAGATGGCTAGGTATTGATCATACGTCTGTCACAAATTTACATTAACCTACATCGACAAAATGTTCGGATGAACGGCTTATAAGACTTTAAAAATAGCCAGGGTCAGATAACCATTTTACTACGCTTTTTGATATCTTAGACATTTCTTTTTTTAAATGTATGATCCAAAGCTGGAAGGACATGCTTTATCTCCCATTCGTCTAAGCTTTAGTAAAGTAAATAGCATGTGAGAAGTAGGGTAGCAGCTACCACACACACTTAGCCACAACCTGTAATTACAGGTTAGTTTTTTGTGTATTGATATAAATGAGTTGCAATGTTTTATTTTACAAAGAAGAAACTAGTCATGCACAACCAGTTTTAAGAGGTGATGAAAAACAGTTGTCACAAGGTACACACAAGCATAGCATGTTATTGTACCATGAAAATGCTTTGCGCCGTTGGTGATCAGTCACACTGTGAAAGGTAATAATAAGCTCTAGAAAGCCTGCGTGGTGTCACAAGTTATGACACATCATGTGACATCTGTATTTAGAATGTTTTGTTCCTCATATTGTCTTGGAGTTTCTCAGAATGTATTGCATTGAATTAGAACTTACAGTTTTGATTAAGTCTATACAATCTGATGCATCACATGTGTATTTAAAGCAGGGGTGGGGAACCTTTTTCCTCTCAAGGGCCATTTCGATTTTTACAACATCCTCCGAGGGCCCTACAAGTTATTGACCTCAACCTCTGCTTAAAATAACAAAAATCACAGCCCATTCATTTCGCCTTTCTTTCATGCTGTGCAAAGAAAAAGCAACCTCTTAATCTAGATAATTTACCATGACTCGCGCATGCATTCACGTGCACGGTTGTGGCATGACCACCAAAACAGAAAGATATGGATGGGGGTCCATATCTATCAGAGATATGGTGGGGGTCCTCACCTCCTCTAGGGGGGTCCGGGGGCAAGCTCCCCCGGGAAGATTTTTTTTTAAATGTTGAAGTTAAAAGCATCAATCTGGTGCACTTTGAGAACAACATTAGGAGCTCTATGGATACATCTCTCAACATCCATATGAAACAGAACTGTAAACAGATTTTCTTTTTATTTATCAATCAATCACATTTATTTATAAAGCACATGGAGCGTGGAGCCTTGCAGCCGCGATACCACACTAATTGCGCCGCATAAGCTCATAGGTGCGCCGCATTTGCGGCTCAGTTGAGGCTCCCCCTCCGCGAGGTGAGGCCCCACGCAGTCTGCGTGATCGGCTGTAGGGAGGGTTGGCCCTGGATCAGTATGACAGATTAACTGGGCTTACAACTAAAGACACTAAAGACACAGCCACGCAAAAACTGCTGCATGTGTACGGCTCCTTATGCGTACTGCAATTTTTGAAGTGCCGGAGCGGCATTCCGGTGCTCTCCGTCAGAACTACACCTCTGTCAGATGAGACATATATCACGAGATATACACGTTAGGCTTGTGTTGTGTTCAAGGAACCTGACCTTGGCTAGGAAAAACTTGCTTGTTTAATTATTTTGCGGTCTTGATTTCTATAATCTTTTTTTTTCTTTCGTGTGTTTATAAATTACCTCGAGGGCCGTATCAAATGGTCTCGCGGACCGTATACGGCCCGGAGGCCGGAGGTTCCCCACCCCTGATTTAAAGGCTTGAATACACATCCTGTCATTCATATTTGTGTTGTCTCTCTTTATGCAGATATATTTTTCTTAATTTATCTTATATGCCATTTTCACAAAGTTTTACAACTTACGGCATTCAGGATATTTACATTGCATTCATCCAATCATTCAGGACTTTTTTATGCACCTGACAATGGAATTATGCAACTTTTTGTGCAATGGAATGACACTCGCTGTTAAACCATGTTCATCTGTTCACACCAGATTATGTACAGCTGTATGGTTGTTGTTGTTGTTGTTGTTGTTGTTGTTGGTGTGACGTACAGTATGTCCCTATTGTGTCGTCTCTGTTTATGCAGATATATTTTTCTTAAATGTATTTTTTCCATCTATTTGTTTTCAGGGTACTCAGAGTTTGAACCCACACAATGACTACTGTCAGCACTTTGTGGACACAGGGCACCGGCCCCAAAACTTCATTAGAGATGTTGGTGAGTGTGTGCTTCTGTGTGTTTCTTCATGCTTTTATCTTCAGTAGACTCGACTACTGCAATGGTGTCTTCACAGGTCTCACTAAAAAATCTATTGGAAAGCTGCAGCTGATTCAGAACGCTGCTGCTCGAGTCCTCACTAACACTAAGAAAGTGGATCACATCACTCCTGTTCTGAAGTCTTTACACTGGCTTCCTGTGTGTCAAATAATAGATTTCAAAATACTGCTGCTGGTTTATAAAGCACTGAATGGTTTAGGCCCAAAATACATTTCTGACCTCCTGCTAAATTATGAACCATCCAGATCTCTCAGGTCTTCAGGGACTGGTCAGCTTTCTGTCCCCAGAGTCAGAACTAAACATGGTAAAGCAGCGTTCAGTTATTATGCTCCAAATATCTGGAACAAACTCCCAGAAACCTGCAGGTCCGCTGCAACTCTGACTACTTTTAAATCCAGGCTGAAGACTTTTCTTTTTGTCGCTGCTTTTAATTGAACTATTCATATCTTAAACTGCACTGTAACTTTTATCCATGTACTTTTTCTTTTAATGTTTAATTGAACTATTCATATCTTAGACTGCACTGTAACTTTTATCCATGTATTTTTTCTTTTAATGTTTATTTTATTAGCTTTTCTTTTTAATGACTGATTTTAAATGCCTTTTTCTTAATGTCTTTCATTTTTTGTAAAGCACTTGAATTGCCTTGTGTTGAAAAGTGCTATATAAATAAACTTGCCTTGCCTTGCCTTGCCTTTATGTGCGTACATTTGTGTGGGCGTCTTACCTCGTTTTCCTTTGTGCTTCAGGCCTGGCTGACCGGTTTGAAGAATACCCAAAGCTTCGGGAGCTTATCAGACTGAAGGACGAACTCATCTCAACCACCAACACTCCTCCCATGTACGTTTAATGATGATGTGATTTTAAATATTTACCTTAATGTCAATGTGATAACACCCAGAGAACATATGTTGAATTAAGAAGACCAAGTTGAAGTTGGCCTTAACTATTTGGGAAGGTTTGCTCTTATAACTGAGAGCGTCTTTGTCTGTCTGTGTTTAGGTACCTCCAGGCTGAACCGGAGAACTTTGACCTGCAGGATTTGAAGTGCAAGTTTGATGTGATTCTGGTTGAGCCCCCCCTAGAGGAATACTACAGAGAATCAGGCACCAGCCACACTGAACAGTTCTGGAACTGGGATGATGTAAGTATGCATGTTACTAGTCTGCATTTAGCAGTTAGGGCTAATATGTGAATGTATTTAAAAAACAAAAATAGAGATAAAACAACAAAGAAGGCGATACAAATCTGCATGATTGTATGAGAGTGTATTAATGCATCTATTAAAAAGGAGAACTCAAACAAAAAAAAAGTATGGGGAATGTTGAAGACATTGGCAAACTTATCTGGGCAGTGGAGCTTAAAAAAACGTAAATGTGAACAGTTTTTCCCTTCTAAAGTGATGGTACCACCAAGCTGAGAATCTGCATCACACCACAGCCGCAAGACAAAGGGCACTTCAGCAGTCATAATATATAAAGAGAACAAAGATATCAGATGTACTTTCTGTGGAGGATATCTCACCTTAGCCAGCATTATTTCCAACCATTTCAAAATTAAGCCACACCCATAGGGATGGGTATCGTTAAGGTTTTAACGGTACTACTACTTTTATCGATACCACTTATCGGTCCGGTCTTTAAACGGTACTCTTATCGGTTCTTTTGGAGAAAAAAAGAAGGTAAACTAACTAAACAAATTGTGAACAAAACTAACATTGCTTTTTATTGAAATGAAATACATAATATTTCACATCAAAAGAAACAACAATGTTTTAACAAATCGTATTAAATAATCTGATGACAGAACTGTAAACAGAATAGCTGAAACTTTAACAAACTAAATAACTCTGTTACCTCTAATCATTAACCCATGTTTGTATCATTGAGTTAACTCGGTGTGTTGCTGCTAGCATACATAACACCTGACGTGGAAACGTTACTCGTGGATGGGGCTACAGAGCTACTAGAAAGACAGTCGAACCCGGTGCATTCCTCCGTCTGAATGTGGTGCACTTTTGCTAAATGTTTAGGCAAATTGCTCGTGTTACCGCCCTCACATGCTAAACTCTTATTGCACTTTTGGTAACGAGCATTGTCCACATCGAGACAGGTAAAGTTGAACCACACGTGTGTGTGTGTGTGTGTGTGTGTGTGTGTGTGCTGTGTGTGTGTGTGTTGTGTGTGTGTGTTGTGTGTGTGTGTGTGTGTGTGTGTGTGTGTGTGTGTGTGTGTGTGTGTGTGTGTGTGTGTGTGTGTGTGTGTGTGTGTGTGTGTGTGTGTGTGTGTGTGTGTGTGTGTGTGTGTGTGTGGTGTGTGTGTGTGGCAGCCACGTGTGTGTAAACTGCCCCGCCCCCTTGCAAGCAGGCGGGGGAGAGAGATCGAAAATAGTCATGGACGCTTTTTGCGTATTATAAACGGAGTTGGCGACACTAAAACTGCAATATAATGTTTGTGTAGCAATAATACATATGACATATACTTTTTAGATGTCTCCAGTACCGATAAAAAGACCAATAATGTCGGAGCTTAACGTTACCACGGTCTTTAATAATTCAGCCCCAGGGCCCGTTTAATACTGGGGCTCGGTACCCATCCCTACACACCCATAGCGTTGCATTAGAACGGTTAGAAATACCTTACAAAAACATTGCCTGGCATAGCCCACCTTCCTTGTTGCTGTGTACAAATGCACCCTTCTGTAATATCTCTATTCAAATTTCCATAGCTGGATTTGTGATTTAAGAGCAGAGATCCCAGCTTAGACCAGAGTAAAAATGAAGCACTATAAAGGGAGTGACTGTATAGCCTGTGTGTCTAATCACTGGTTCTGGGTCTCTATTAAAGGGTCTGGTCCAGATAGAACACAGAGATAAATGGGGTAATGGGTCCGTGTGCAAAACTAGACCTGTGCAGGATTTTGTGTGGGATTACAGACAATAAGAGAATGCATATCCTCTCCCAGTAGGGGGCAACATGGATCCACAAGGACCCTGCCAATGAGCAGATTTCAGGGCTAAATGTTCTCATGACAGGACTTCCTCAGGGAAAGGAAGTGTTAAAGTGTTTTGTGATTTATGTATCCACTGGATGGATGATTATGGCATTGTGTTCCCTCACCTCTCTTTCCTCTTCTCTGCTGTTGTAGATCATGAAACTGGAAATTGAGGAGATATCAGATCTTCGTTCCTTTGTCTTTCTCTGGTGTGGCTCTGGTGAAGGCCTGGACATGGGCAGAATGGTAACATGACGGTCATATTTACTTTGCTGTATGGTCATTGTTGGTGTTACACATGTCCCTATTGTGCTTGCCAACAGCACAGCATCACTGCATGGCTTACTTTGTCTGAAATTGATTTTCTTGTAGTTTTTACCTGAGTAGGAATGTTTGACCAGCACCTGTTTTTCCACAACTGTGATTCATATAAAGACTATTGTTATATTTGTATAAATATGAGTTTTCCCCAAACACAAATGCAAAGGGTCATTAAACCAAATATTGAACATTTCAACAAGCCAGGCCAGGAATAAAGAAAAAACCGTTTTGTGCAGATTATTCAGAATCTTCATTATTGCTTAAGTATCATAGAGAAAGGCTGCTTTTCATTAGTAATTCCACTTCCCAACATTCACCCTCATTGTTATTACATCACATACATGATATGGATCCATCTTGGGAATGTGTAGGTGAAAAGAAGTGTTGAGGTGTTGGCTCAGCTTTTTACAGATCATGAGATACCTGTAGGCTCATTTCAATGCGGCAAGGGTGTCGTCTTTGAATAATTGCAATACCCAACGTAACATGCTGCCTCAGTTTGATGATTATCAAGCAGTAGCTATACTTATACAGGTTTTTTGATGTCTTGCAAAACAACCATTTGTCCTTGCATTCACAGATAATGAAGGAAATAAATGAATCACACAACGTCAACAGGAGAATAATAAAATATGAACTGCAGTTATATTTTATCTGGCATTTTTTCAATAGAATATCGACTTATCAATGACATTCTCTTAATAATTATCTAGGAGAGTGAACCTATAACCTACACATGTAATTCTACTCACCTTTAGTATTACAACAACTAATAAGCATGTCAGATAGTGCATTTATTTGATTTGATTTAAATTGTTCTACAATGGTAAGCACCCAAATCTTGCATGCATTACTGCTACCAGTTACCATTTTTGTTCGCTTAACCCTTCAACCCTTCAAAGTATCAATTTCACCAAGTTCAGTTCAGTTTTCAAACAACTGAAAACAACACTTTGTCTGCAGGGATACCACCCAGGGCTAATGCAGAGGGGAGGTCTCCGAGGCATGTTGAAATGGAGCCTAGTTAATGCACTTTTCATCAGTTTGGAAACCAGTTTGTTGTTTGAAACATGTTTTATTAGTGTGCCAGGGATGCATTGTGTCAATAACGCATTGATTATGTCAATAGCCTAAGATACAGTAATTTTCAAAGGTATTGCATGACCCTCAGCATTGTTGTTACACATAGGCCGTTTCTTAATGTCGAGTAAACCTGCTGCAGAGCCACTATTTCAACTATACTACGTCATTGAGTAGCGCCGAATGCTGGGCATTTAACATGCATTTAAACAGTCCTTCGGCGCCACTCGATGACATAGTATACTTGAAATAGTGGCTCTGCAGCAGGTTTACTCGACATTGAGAAACGGCTATAGTTTAACATAATAACTTCCTTTATTCCAACCATTTCAGTGTTTGAGGAAGTGGGGCTTTAGGCGGTGTGAGGACATCTGTTGGATCAAGACCAATAAGAACAACCCAGGCAAAACCAAGGCGCTGGACCCGAAGGCAGTATTCCAGAGGACCAAGGTACAGCAATGTGAAATATATGTTAATGTACATATAACATCATCTAATTGCTTTGGGATCATAAGAAGTCCATGATGAATTCCAAGTTAAACCTGTTTTAATTATATTTTATGATATATTTGTTACTGGAAATTTGTATTTCCTCATGTATATTTTCCACATGTATATATTTTTTTAACCTTTTAATGCTATTTTATTATATCTATCTCTCTCTCTCTCTCTCTCATACTTAATATGTTAGACTACTATTTTTTTTGTACCTTTTCATATGCACTGTCCCTTGCTTCTGTAACACGAACCATTTTCCGTCTATGGGACAAATCATGGATTTCTGATTCTGAAATCAATATCCTCCCTCCAGGAACACTGCCTGATGGGAATCAAAGGAACAGTGCGCAGGAGCACTGACGGTGACTTCATCCATGCGAATGTGGACATTGACTTGATCATCACTGAGGAGCCTGAGATGGGAAATGTTGAGAAGCCTGTGGAGATCTTCCATATCATTGAGCATTTCTGTTTGGGCCGCAGAAGGTTGCACCTGTTTGGACGAGACTCAACCATCAGGCCAGGTGAGATTGAACCACTTTTCTTTCTTTGGTAATATCTGCTTGTATGTTTGCTTTAAGTTTCTTATTGCATTTGTGCTTTTTTCTCTTTTTAGGCTGGCTGACTGTAGGTCCTACTTTGACAAACAGTAACTTTAACCCAGAGACCTACGCCTCACATTTCGTCAATGACAACCTATCTGGCTGCACTGAGGAAATAGAGAGGCTGCGACCTAAATCTCCCCCTTCTAAGATGAAGTCGGACCGTGGGGGCGGAGCAGCTAGAGGGGGACGTGGTGGGCCAAATTCAGGAAGAGGCGGAGACAGGGGCCGTGAAAGAAACCGGCCAAATTTCCGAGGAGACAGGGGAGGGTTCAGGGGTCGGGGAGGGCCACATAGGGGCTTTCCTCCTCGCTAGAGCGAATAATTAACCAGACTTATGGTGGGAATCCCTATGTGCATAGAGTCCTGACCATTTTTTATTGGCCAACACTGACGATGACCACATTGATGATTGATGATCACACTGGTTCCCTCGATATAAAGCAAAGAGGGATTTTTTTCATTGGATTTTGGCAAGATAATCTTCGCAAATCAAGACCACCTTTAAAAACATTAACATTTGTAAAGCAGGCTATTTGAAGTTTGTTATGGTTGGAATGTGACAGCAGAGAAGTTGGCAAATGTAATCAATGTTTTTTTAATCTTTTTGTGTTTATATTTTCTTCATGCAAACACTTAAGATAAAATGTGTGTTGCCTTTATAAACATTCTTTTCAAATGTTGTGTTCGTGTTTATTTTTGTATTGGGTTTTGAATATAATGGATATTTGTCCCCAAGGCGAAGTTAGTCTTGCAGACAGGCGAAACAGAACACCTACAGACATAACACGAAAAAATAATCATGAATACACTAGAAAAAAAACTAGAGTATGCCATCACTCAAACAATCATCGTCAGCCCTCAGTAGAATGGAAAACTAATCATCAGGACATAGTGAGTATTTAACAGATTTTGTGGATTAGTTAATAATCCTTTTAGACCTGGACTTTCAATGTCTAAATCTCTGCTCAGAGGAGGAAGAGGGCACTAAAACATCTCTAGCCTTAGAAATTGCTCTCCTACAGAAGATAAGAGACAGATGAGATAGTTAACAATGATCGTCAAGGTTAAGGATTTACTACAAACAAAGCCCTTTTGGGTTTAAGGGGTGTAATGCAACGTTTTTGTTATCTAACATGATAAACACATATATCCAAATGCTGTGTTAACAGCCTTTTCCTCTGCAGACATGCTGTCATTTATGTTTGCACAACATTAGCTTCAGTGCTTTGGAAGCTGATTGGCTGTAATCATCTGTTCATGCTCTCCCTGCATGACGTTAGCATGTACACTGAAAGTCAAAGGGCGGTTCCTTAGAACAATGCCATGCATCTTCCTTTACATTTGTCTGTACATTGTTGTATTGATTTCAATTGCCGCGTTCACACCTCAGTACTTTCCCCGCTTTAGTTCCGATATAGTTCCGAAATGTCGCGTTCATACCAAAAAGAGCCGGAACTAAAATTAGTTAATTGGAACCTTTTTTACCCACTGCTAGAGAGCAGGGTTGCGGTCGGATAATCCAAAAATCATAGTTTTTCAACTATGGAAACTACAGTTTTCTTCAATACATAATTTCTCCGAAATAAGGTCCCATGGAGGTCCACCGGAAGGGGAGGGACTTCGCCACTCAATTAGTAATTATGCTAATGTACACATCAATCGTTATGTAGGCTACTTTTATATAATGCTGATTTAACAGGATCTAGTGATGGTTTTGTTCAGCATTGCCAGCTTCACTGTTGAGCTTTATGTTGTGCCCAGCATTCTCCTGTGTTCTGAAATCAAAATGTGGATACGCATAAAACAACACTAAAATAAACACTACAATAACTTGTTATTTGACACACACAAGGTTGTTCATTTGTGTGTATAAATATACAACACAGGCTATATACATATATATATATACATATACAAGTATAATTAATACTTCCTATGACGATATCATATGGTATAGCTAATTCATCTGGGTCCAAATGTGTTGTGCCCACATGCAAAGGTTGTAAACTCTGGCTTATCCCTGCGTGGTATTATAGTAATAGCAAACAGCAACGTTCAACTCCTTTAATGGTATATTGCAAGTGCAATAAGAAGCTACAGGGACGTTAATCTACGTAACGTCGGTAATATTAACTTTATTTAATACAAGATTTACATCATACAGCCCATAGTATAATATTTTCGGGTGGCGGTATACGCCGTGAAGTTTTTTGCGGCCTGCCAGTAAACCCAAAGCAGAAGAAGAAGGAGTGACGTCAGCGGCTTCATAATCATTTGCCTAATCCTTCTCCAGGGATTTATTCCGGTGTGAACGCGATCTGTACTTAGTTCATGAGAACTAAAGAGTTCTCATTAACTACGTTCTCATGAACCTTTGTGGGAAAAGTACTGCGGTGTGAACGTGCCTTATGACTTTTGGTACAGAAGTAAAGATTGTAAAACTATAATTCAGGGTTGATTCAAAGTCCCAACAATCAATGAATTAGTGAAGATTAACCTTTACTAAGTCAGTGAAAATGTACCTTAAATTAAAACTGTGCATAAGTATGCTCACAGAGCTCCTAGTTTGGCTTCAATACTTTAGTCTGGACCAGTTTTTGTGTGAAGCGTTTTGTCATCAAATATACACAGTAGTGCTTTTATGTGTCAACTGGTTGATTCTCAAGCCCACAAAAAGTCCCCTGTCAGTTCCTGTTGTACCAGGGCTGGACTTGCCATCTGGCATACCGGGCATTTTCCCGGTGGGCCGACCTGCCTTTTGGGCCAACACGTCTTTTTTTTTTTTAAGTCCCGGCCCATAAAACGGGTAGATTGGCCCTCTGTTTAAATGTTTTTAGTAATTGACACTGGGCCGGCCCAATCAAATCTTTAATTACCTCCCCCTTTGGCCGCTCGGTGTGCATCATTAAATCACGTCCCCAGGAGGTGAGCCGGCCGTTGAAGCCAAACTGCCTTTTTTTTCGAGAAAAAAATAAGTTCGAGTTAGAAATGGTGAAGGCCAAGCGAAAAGGGGGAGCAGAACAATTGCGGGCAAGAAAAAAGCAGGCCCTCGTGCTGCCGCTTGTGTCAAAATAACCGACATGTTTAGTACAAGTGCAGGTCCATCTTCTTCTAACGATATTGGTGGTGAGGAAGATGATGAGAGGGAGAGAGATCTGCATCTGTGCACAAACTTATCTCGTGCCCTCATTGGTCATGTGCGCGTTTGTGTGTGTTGGAGGAGTGGCTCTGTAAGGAAGTCTGAAGTTGGTGCATCATGGCATGTGGCTCATTAAAAAATAAGTACAGCTATTATCTCCCTCTTGTATAACTGGTCGGCCCCACCTGCAGCAGGTAAACCAGGGTTGCCAACTCTCACGCATCTAGCGTGTGACACACGCTTTCACTCTCAATCTCACGCTCTCACGCTTCCCAAACTATTCTCACGCCAAAAACAAGATGAACCAGCGATCGTTTTTGGTTGGTTATTTAGAATGTTGAGTTGACAGCTGCTCAAGCTGTTGATCCGCTCCCTCCCCGCCTCCACCACCATCAGACCCCCCTGCTCGGTCACTGTTCGCTTTGTGAGAGGGTTTGAAGGTCTAATTTCTAATGATTGATAGTTACACATACTTGTTGTATGTATTAGTTTAGTTTGCCCCTGGTACGTAAAAAGGATAATAATAGCGTTGTTTTAAATTATACTGAGTTATTCTTCTTGTCAGGAACCGCTACTATTCGTTTGTTTTATGGATTTGGGCCGGTCTGGGTCTAAATGCCAGAGCCGATTTGCTGTCCCAGTCCAGCCCTGCCCCCTACTGTAGGAATGGGTAGATTGTTAGAATTGGTATATTTATATATAGTCTATGGTCCCGACCAATCAGAGCACACTGTGCTCACAGGGAGGGTGGGGGCTGGAGCTATTGGAGCTACAACGACCCGTTAAAGGCAGAGAGTGAAATTCAGTGAATACACGTAGTTTACAGAGATGCTGTATGAGAAACCAATGTGAGTTGCGTTTATCTTTACCCATGGATGCACAATAAGAACGGATCCATATCGTCTTACTGCCATCCCACGGAGCTGTAATAATGGATATATTGCACATGTTTGCTGTAATTCATTATCATACTACATGGGCTGTATGATTAAATCTTGTACCGTAAATGTTGTATTAAATAAAGTTAATATTACCGACATTATTAACGTCCCTGTAGCTTCGTATTGCACTAAGAAGCTTATTGCACTGTATATAAATATATATATATATATAAATAATATTTATATATATATATATATATACAGTGCAATAATTATTTTATGCTAAATGAAGCTCTGTTGGATATCACTAGATCCTGTTACAGCGTAATATAAGTACATAACGATTGATGTGGACATTAGCATCATTACTAGCTAGCCGCTAGCTGCTAACTGCCGCCTCGTTCATATCAAATCCATGATAACAACAATCCATTACCATGCTGTCATGAACGCGCGGTGCTGTTATGTGTACGCAAATTGACGTGCTTGATGTGAACGAGCATTTTGGTTAAAGTTGCGCATGCTCTATGAGTGCACATACGGGTACTTCTCAGGCATGCTGGGTAATCTGTGACGTTTCACTCTCTCAAAAGTTGGGCCATTTTATCATCATGCGCTAATGAGCAGCTCTCATAGGAATGAATGAGGCCCCGCCTCCCACGCTGTATCCAGTTCTTATTATACATCCATGGTTTAGTACAGGTGCAGGTCCATCTTCTTCTAACGATATTGGTGGTGAGGAAGATGATGAGAGGGAGAGAGATCAGCGCGAGTGGAGAGAGCGAGGAGAACTCGCGGTAAGCAGAAGCTAAGAAAATTAGGAAAAGATTATTATTAAGGTTATGATACACTGTAAGACCGAACAGTACAAGCTTCTTGAAGAATATGGGTTGTTTTAACCCAAACATTTATAAAAGTTATTTCACCGCAAATGTTCTGATGACTATGAACTGATTTGTAATATTGTGTATACAGTATTCATCCACTTTGGGTCATATTGGGGATTGTACTCAAATGTTTTTACTGAATCTGTCTGACGTCATCACGTATGTGCTCCGCCCCCGACGTGCCTCACTGCTCTCACCCGCGTTCGTTCATGAGTCCGCCATTATAGCTCCTCTCGAATGAAATCACTCAAACTTCCAGAAGTATACTTTGCCCACCGTGCCCTCGAGTCTCACTGCCGGAATTTGACCGCGCTACCGCGGTAAGTTACGTCTTGCCTTTGCACAGTATTTAAATGATTTGTTATTCATTTCTGCATCTAATGCTCTTTGTGTCGCATGGTGTGTTAGTTTGATTTGAGCTTTTGTTAGCTAGCCTAGATTTAATATCTGCCTCACTTGAACAATGATTTAAACCTGTAAGACAGTATTTTATATTGCTTTAAGTTATATCTCAAAGTGGAACGTTTGTGTTGAAAAAAGTTCTCCGGAAAATTCAAACCGCAAATGGCGGGAGTTTTTTTTCTTCTCTTTTGTTACTGCATGCAATGTATGGTCATATTTTATTAACTTAGAGGCATAGAGAATTTAAGTTCATTTCATCCACTACAATTACCATAACCGTGCGTTCTGCATTTTTGTAAAAGCAAGCTAACTTGAAATACTAACTAGACTATTCATTTTACAATGGGTTTCAAGTTAGCTTGCTTTTACAAAACATGCAGAACGCACGGTTATGGTACAACGTTAGTGGATAAAATGAATGTGGATAAAATTAACCTAAATCCTCTTTGCCGCTAAGTTAATAAAACATGCCCAGACATGCATGCGGTAACAAAAGAAGAAAGCGCGCCGCCTGCCGCCATTGTATGCTCGAAAATAGTGTTTCTCTGATCATTTTGTGAAAACTTTGCAACCCAGCTAACCTTCAATGTTTTTTCTCTTTAGGAGCAACTGGCAGATAAATGGCTTCTTCAGCCTGGTAAGCCTTGCGTCCACACAGTCCACATATACATTGTACTCTGAATTAAATAGTCATTTTATATTTTGGCAGATTTGTGCAGAGTTTCATAGAATAACGAACTTCAACCTGAAGAACCACTTTTACGCGGAGTTGGATCGGCATGTTGAGCTTGTTCAGGAAGAAGGCGGCACTCAAAGGAAAATTGTCTGAAGTTCTGGATCAGCTCTTCACCGCCTATGACCTCCAGGTGAGTCGGTTAAGCCTCTTGGTGTTTTATTATCATACTAGAGTGGATTTTCTGTGTGTGTGTTGGGGGGTGTGTGTGTTGGGGGGCGGGGGTCAGCCTGATAGATTTAGATTTATTAAGATACTTGTGTTTGGGCAGGGAACAGCAGTGTTAATGTTATTGCACCTTGTTGTTGTGCTAATGAGATACAGGTGGGATCGCAGACGCCTCAATTGCTTCAAAATGTTAATCTCTTCAGTCATGGAAGAGCCCTTGTGATATAAATTGTTGTGTGGCTATGCTGTTTAGCATCCAAAGTAAAACAAAGATATGTTTTCGCACTCAAGGATCAAGGTGACGTCCATTGCCGATGTGCTGCTGTCCTCCGTGGTCTGCCTGGATTTCTGCATGAGGATGACTCCAGGTTTCTGAGGCTGTGGCATGTAAGTCAGCATAATAACTGTTTTGAATGTATGTGACAGATCAGCAAAAAATATAGTTTATCTTATAAATATACATACACATGCACACACACAGATAGACACACACAGACAGACACACACATACATAGACACACACATACATAGACACACGAACATACATACACACATACATAGACACACAGACACACATAGACACAGACACACACACACACATACATAGACACACACATAGACACACACACACCAGAGATGGGGACTCGAGTCTGAGACTCGGACTCGAGTCGCACTTAAGTCGCACACACAGAGACTTCAGACTTGACTTGGACTCCTGCTCAAAAGACTTCGGACTCGACTTGGACTCGTGTTTTGGGACTCGTGAACAATCATTGTGTTTTCTATTTTTGGCGTATTAAAGGTGGGGTAGGTAAGTTTGAGAAACCGGCTCGAGATCGCTAGAATCTGAAAATACACAACCGGAGAAAATCTGCCACTTCCTCACAGAGCCCCTCCTCCAACACACACGAACGAGCACATGACCAATGAGGGCACGAGATAAGTTTCTGCCCCGATGGGAGGCTGACAGGCAGGTAGGGCCATCCGGTTATTTTAGCCGGGCCGGCTATCGGGATGTTAAGAGCATTCCATGGAATATAACAACAAGTGTATCTCGAGCCGGTTTCTCAAACGTACCTACCCCACCTTTAACATTAACATCATGGTAACACCATGGCGACCGGCGGCACACCTGCAGCTGTACCGCTTGTAATTAGGTTCAACTATAAAAACTTCGAACAAAAACGCCGGCGGCACCAACAAAAGGAGCGCACACTGCAAAGTCTGCAATATTAAAATCAAGGATGCTGGTGCAACAACGTCAAATTTCATCAGGCACTTGAAAACTCACCCGGAGAGGTCAGTCACATTAACGCATATGGACGGTTAGCAAACATGTTTAGCTCAGCATCAGCTATGTAATGTTAACTTAGCTTGCTACTAGCTTTGTAACTGAATATTTGAAAAGATGAGTGAATGTTTGCTTGTCACACTTGTTTGCGTTGACATCCAACTCTTGACATGACATAAAAAAGGTCGGTAACGTTAATCATTACGTTCCGCTGCCACCATCTACTGGCTAACGTTAAATGTAGAAAAATACATAGTTACATACATAAATACATCTGTCGGTTTATAGGCAGGTTACAGGTTTATTGTTGACCAGGTAACGTTAATGTTACAGGTTTATCGGGTTACCATTACACTGGGTTTGAGTGAGAGGATAGAGGAATATGTTTATTTATAGTAGACTTAAAAGATGTAATTAGAGACCCAGTGTAATTAAACAATACGGTTGCAGAGGTCACATTTTAACATTTTTGTCCACTGGCCAAATGGCTAGCCTAGTGAATGTTGAAATGTTACCAGCCACTCAATAGATTGCCATTGTTATTTGTGGCTGGTACGTGCAACATACAGTACCAGCCACTTGCATGATTTACCAGCATTTGGCTGGTAAATGGTGTTAATGGTAGATATCTCTTTTGGAACAGGTCATGTTTTAATATCACCAGTTCAGTATATTTCAGATAATATTGCAGCAATAGTTTTTTTAGTTGCAAAGAACAAATGTTTTCTTTAAGTACTTTTAACACAGTTTCCCTGCGGGGGATTAATAAAGTATTTGTGATTCTGATTCTGAAGTGTTTTGCTTATAAGTTGTTTGCATTTAGCTAAAGTGTGATGTTTTTCCTCATATTGCATTGCAATAGCCTGTTTAAAGTGATCATATAACAAACAACTAATCAGTACTGATACTGTATGCTAATAGATATAGGAGTGATAATAATACAGTAAATGCTTTGAATTTCTTAGATATAGCTGTGCAGTATTCTTAACAGACTGGATAGCAGCAGACAATAGAAGGCTTATTACAACCAGAAGAGACATGAGACTTTTATTTTTTAGAGACTTGAGACTTGACTTGGACTCGTGACCAAAGACTTGAGACTTGATCAAGTCTCACCCCACAAAGACTTGAGACTTGACTTGGACTCGTGACCAAAGACTTGAGACTTGACTTGGACTTGCAAAAAAAGACTTGTGAACATCTCTGACACACACATATAGACACACAGACACACACACATACATAGACACACGAACAGACACACATACATGCATACATACAAACAAACAGACACACATGTGTACACACACATACACACAAACAGACAGACACATACACACAATCAAAGAGAGCTTTCTTTCCTGCAGCATCAGTGTTTAATACAAAATAATCTCTAGTGTTCCCCATATATTTTTGTATGTGTAGTAGGGAGAGATTATACTATACATATTCAGTTTCCAGTTTATTAGGTACTGTAAGAGAATATTTTCATCTGATCTGTTTATAGAGTCTTTTATGGTTCCTTAGAGTCTGTGATACTGCAAACATCTGCTTGTAGTCAGTCAGAGACTTCTCTGTAGGTTGAGGTCACAGGTCAAACGCTTCTCCTATGTCCGAGGGTTGACCTGGCAGCATCTCTTTGAGACAAGCAGACCATTGTCTCGCATCGGCTATTGATTATACGCGGGCTTTCTGGAAGCCCGCCTCTCCTCGTGTTGGTTAGATGTTTTGTGTCTTTTGGTTCAGAGATTACCTTGGTGGAGCACAAGGACAGTGTGAAACTAGGATGATTTCCCGGCCGTATGTAATTGTCTGTCTCTCAATAAATATCAGTGTATTGACAGGTGAATCCAGTTTCCCTCATTTGATGATGCGCTCAACATTGCTGCAAAGAAGTTTTAACTTCACAGGTACAACTAGCTACTAGTAACAGTCTAATACAGTGATGCAATAAATAATACCCTTATGAAGGTTATACATGTTTTTTCTGTAGAAAGAATTTATGTCAACTGATTGGTTATTTTAGAGGCTGAAGTTTCTGGTGCAATGCGAATAGGCGTTTCCTTAAACCCACGTTATGCACAAAACATTAGGTTATTTGATGTGATATGTCACTGATGTATTTTTCAGCAAACATATTTCTGAGATAGCTAAGGCAATTTGGGGTAATAGGTAACGTGTATCTGTTCTTGTCATCAGGTAGAGCATCTGAGGATCCAGAAGTAGATGACGTCGCGGTCGGACTTCTCCTGATCAGTGCTAGGTCGACAAATGCCACGCTCTTCTGCCCAGAGAAATCGCTGTCGTCATAGAGTGGGGACAAGTTATTCGAACTCCCACACTGGCTGAGGCATTCATCCATCTTTTCGCACTGATCTATGCCCTCCATCTGAGTTACCCCGAAAGAGTTGGCAAACACTTTCGACTTCATCCAGAAAGTATTGATGGGCCCTGGATGAAGGGAACATGAGGTCCAGGGGGTATTGAAGCCTAAAAAATGAGCTTCTCACATTTTAGTCATCCTATAATATAACACACACCACACTCCCTTGTGGCTGGACGCTGGCATTGTGCCACACACACACACCACACACTCCCTTGTGGCTGGACGCTGGCGTTGTGCCCCACACTCCCTTGTGGCTGTGACGCTGGCGTTGTGCCCCACACACACCACAACTCCCTTGTGGCTGGACGCTGGCGTTGTGCCCCACACAACCACACTCCCTTGTGGCTGGACGCTGGCGTTGTGCACCACACACACTCTTTAAATCTGAAATATGCATTGTAATATGTGTTACTGTTCAAGTTTGTTTGTTTGTTTGTAAATGTAAAAAAAGGATGGACAACATTTGATACCTTACAAGACATATTTTACACACACACAATGTTCTCTGTTTACATACTGCTGCTTTAAATGTGTTCTATGCATTGTAATGTGTTACTGTTCAAGTTGTTTGTTTGTAAATGTTAAAGGATGGAAAACATTTTCACATACATTTGATACCTTACATACATATTACACACACACACACACAGTTCTCTGTTTACATCCTGCACTTTAAATATGTTCATTGAAAACTGTGTTACTGTTCAGCTTCAAGTTGAAGGACTGTTTCCCATTATTTTATACTTTTAAGAAAATATATCATAGATATTTGTCAAGGCCTTAGCACTGTTTAATTTATTTTGTATTGAAAAGTTAGTTATTTGCTATAATGTATCTATATTGTTTGGTAAAGATTATGTCAATTAATAAAACAGTAATTTGCATTTAAATTGTCAGTGTTAAAGTGCTTTTTAATGTTTAGTCAAAATGTTAACTTAGGGATTTTGAGTTACAGTTAACTAAAATGTCGATGTAATCGGTTTCTCAACAAACGTTTTAAGTATTCGACATTCCGTTTTGAGTACTACTCAATTGAAATTTTTAATTCATATTGGGGTTTAGATAATACAAATATTTAAGTTAAATCTACCTGATTTTCATATCTACTGTGCTCACAAAATAGCTAGTTGAAGAGATATGAAAATGTTTAAGTTAAAGATACTTGATCTTTATATGTACAGTGTTAACAAAAAATTATTAGTTTAAATAACTTAATATATCCATGTTTCTTTAACTTAAAACAATATGTTTGTGTCACTTAAAAATTACTAGTAAATAGAACTCAATTGATAAGATTATACTTTAACTTAAAACATTTAAGTTAAGGTACTCAAAAATGTCGATGTAATCGGTTTCAACAAAACGTTTGAGTTCTATTAACTTGTCAGGTTTTACAGTGCTGTAGTTCTGGAACCCATTAATATCCCTTTGATGAAGCACTAATAAGACACATATTATAAGAGAAACATTCGTTAGCCTACAAGCTAGTAAGCTGGCTTTTTTAGGTTTTCCCTGGCAAGTTAAAATATAGCTTAATGGGACTGATACTCATTGAAAGTTAACCAACATTCATGAACAATTACTGTCAGCTGGCAGCTTGTTTTGTTTAGTTTATTTACTTATTTGGTTATAAGGGCAACAGTGGTCTTTTGGGACCTGAAAAATGTTTGTATAGTCAGCTTTTTGTGGTAGTTTTGATTGACAATATATAGAATGAATAATATAGAAATAGATAAAAAATGGAGGCACACATGTAGTTTTGACCATTAACTGTGTGGTATTGTTATGTCAATG